TCCATATGCAACAGGCAGCTTGAACAGAGACAAGATATTCTCTTGGCTAAACAGGCTTGCGGGTTAAAGAAACCTCAGGAGTCTTTAAGGGGACAGAAAAAGATCAAAGATTGAAGAACTAACTAGCTTCCCCACTTCTAAAACATGAAAATCAGAAGTAACCACACAAAGTATTTAAAGGACAAGGTGTTTATGCTATGGGCCAATGAACTTTGCTACTGAACATGGAGATCCAAGTTATAAACCTTAGAGAAGCATGCCCCTAGTTAGGCAGCCAGATATGGGAACGGCTCAGTTGTGAGACTAAAAGGGTACAAAATTATGTTTATCTATCATCACTGACAAGAGTTCATCCCCACACACTAAGTCTGGAATGTTCCAGTGTTCCCACTTCACACACAGCACAGAGGAATAAAGTAGCAGGATTATTTTAAGTACCTCACTCTTTTAAAGGCATAAGTGCAAATATGCACTTCTGTACAAATACATAGAATAGGCTATTTCAGTTGGAAGGGAACTACAATTATCATTCTGTCCAATGATCTGAGTCAGGGCTACCCTTAAAGCAGATATGAAGGGCATTGTCCAGGGAATTGTAAGGTCATCCAGTGACATCCTGCCAGGTCTGTAGGAGCGCCTCACTTGTCTTCAGCAGGACAGGGTTTTCTAAGGAGGCTCCCCCCCTCTGTCTGTGCAGCACACCACGTTAAAGCTCCTGTGAAATATTTTTTACTCTTACACTGAGGCTTTCACCCAGGTCATCAGACACTTCATACCAGCAAAGTATTGCCAAAACACTGTCAAACCAAAATAAAGTATTCACCATGCTGAGGAGAGGTTTTTTTTTTTCAAAAGCACAAGTCAGAGTGACAAAAGGCAATTAATAGGCATTAACACAAACGAAGATTTTCACATTTAATAAAAATGGAAAAAAAATGCATATTGCACTTAGTGTTTAATGACAGATGTTTATTTTTCAGCATTTCTTTGACTCTGGACAATTCAATTTCACTCTGTTTTCTGTGGTTTATGCATGAGTACAGTCCTTCAGTGCTTGTTTTTTTACAAGCACGGTGCAGTTCAATGCTAGGAATAATCCTCAGTTTAATTAACTTCTCAAAAACATAGAAGTTTAGTATTAGTGTGTGAATAGGAAGCAGCCTCTCCCAGTCCTAGGTCCCTACATGATTTTTTCCTTTTGTAATGCCCTGAAGTAGGGCCTCAACCTACCTCTCTACAATAACTGGAATTGATCAATTAAAATAAATACTTCAAACATAAAATCTCTCAGCTCTCATATTTTCTGACATCCTTCTACTTGCCTGAAAAAACAAAACAAAAACTTAATTTCACCTCTTGTCTGTGGCAGGATCCATCACAGTATGAAGAGAACAGGGAAACAAGCTATGCAAGAACTATTGACCAACATTTAAGGAATTCAACTGTTTCCACTCTTTTAATTTAAAAGCATTAAGCTGTTTTGATTGTTATTTTTACATTGGGTGTTAAACCAGACAGAAAACATTGAAAAAGCAAAATGTCAGTCCCAATTTTCTACTTACAGCCAGCACTGTGCAGGAGATATAGATCTGAGGTCATCTGTCACAGAAAAGTTTTATTATCAGAGATTGAAACCTGTTATCAAATCAACACAAATGATGCCTGGCTTAACAAACAGGCTAGTAAAAATTGACAGAAAATGATAGCAGGGTAGCAGCTCCAGTACAATCAAATCAGATCATCATGAAAGGCAGCGAAGCATGTTTCTCCTAATGGGGGTCAGTGTGCAGCCTGGCCAGCTTCATTAAATAACAGCTGTATTTTAACCCAGTGAACACAAGTACAAACTGTTATCATCCACCCCAGTGAAGCACTTCACTCCTCATTTTTGCTGGTTGTGCAACAACTACTATGTTAGGAGAAGGCACAGGTGCTCTGAACCCTCTGCCCCAGCACATTGCTGGACTTTGCCTAAGATCTGTGTATGAACAGCAGCCACAGAAAGAAGATGGAGCTCTGTCAGAAGCACTGGCTGCCAATGGCCAGCTGTAGGAATCACGGTTACCACACAGGATGTCTTTTAGTCATTTCTGCAGCTGCTTCGTTAGCCACAGTCCTTACAGAGAGGAATGAATTAAGAGGAAATTTATGGTATTCAAGATGTGGACGAAATTTCCCAGCATATATTTTTAAGACGTAACAAGAATTCAAAAATATTAGCAACAAACTCAAGTTTCCATTTAATCCCTTCATAATAAAAGTGTCCAAAGACATGAATATACTTAGATGTGCCTACTCCTGACACTGATTTGTGAAAGTTTACTTATCAGACAATTTACCTGCTCAGATGCAATTTGACCAGCATTCATACAAAAAATAACTACTTTTATCTCATCTCTTAGCAGTACCAAAAACCCCATCCAAAAAAAGGTTCACTAGATGTTGTTTTGCTCAAATAGAAACACATGAGCAGGAAATATTCTCAACAGATATTTCAAACTTATTATATTAATCTAGTGTCATCAATAGCTGTTACTGGATGTTCTATTTCCTTTCTGTAAGAAACCAATGACATTAAAATGAATTTTTTATAGGAACTGACGAAAATAATATTAGCAATTAATTTCTTCTGACTGCTGCAAACAGATTTGATAGTGACCTATATACTTCAGTCCTTAAATGACACATTTTCTGTCAATGGAAAGAACTCACATTGCTCATTCAGCTGACTGTTGGGACTGCAGTCTTCTCAAAGCATACTATGCCTCATTTATTTCAAGCCACTGTTGGTCAGCTTCATTTCTTCCCTTCAGTATTTCTTGTCAAACTTGTTACAAGCTGGTCCCTAGAAAAAAACACCTCATTGCACCCAGGTGGTGCCAAATTTTACCCTTATCAAGGCGCTCTTTTTCTCTGCAGCCAGGACCATAATCTCTACTGCTATACAATTTTGATTCCTACCTACAGGAAAACATCAACATTTTCTGTGTGTGCAACTCCAACAAGCCCTGGCCATTGTAAACAGTGATTACAAGTCTTTCCACATATATAAATTTGAGATTGCTTGCCACCTGATTAATTTAGAAGTTGTTCTCCAAAATTCCTTCATCTTCTAATCCAGATTCCAGACTGTCGTTAAATAGATAAAATTGGGATCCTAAAATATGAGGGCCAGGCCAAGCAGGCAACAGTGACAAAGCTATTATCTTTAAATGATGGGATATGCCAAGTTCAGCAGGAAATAAAAGGGTTCCTTCCACACACAGTAGGGAAAAACCACTCCAGTTCCACTTAATTGTTTTACCTCCCACAGGAAAGGGGATTAACCTAGTGTTCACAGCATGACATGTGCATTAAACCTCTGAATTACAGAAAACCTGCTACACCTTGCTTAGACTGGAGTGCAGAAGCAAACACTGGCAGAGCAAACCCACATCTGCTGAAGCATGATGATTGCAATAATATGGCACCAAGCTGTAACCATTTCAATCCATCTGCTTTGCAGCGTTACTGTACTACCCACATAAACAAATCTGTATTAAATAAAATGTAAGACATTACAAAGCTGAGAAAGAAAACCTTCAGTACTCAAATTCCAGAAACAATTTCTTCTGGAGGCAGACATTACCCCCAGAACAGTACTGTTAACTATGTAAACTCAAAACATCAATCCCACACAAGGCACTGTGCCACATACCTTTATGCAAGCACTTATTTACAGATCCTTTCTTGATTGCATAGCATTAAGGTAAGGAGGCTTCTGAAAAGAGCAACTAGAATTTGTGCCAGCAGACTAGAGCTTTCAAGTAGTAAACACTTGGAAAACACTAACTCTACAGTCTTCACTGAAACAGATGGTTTCCATTGAATTCATACCAAGAGTGAAACAAGCATATCACTTGACTTCCCAGCTCTTTCACGCAACTATTTTTAATGCATGTCTTCAAAGAAATTGACCTCTTTGGCAGGGGACAATTTGGCCTCCTTTCAGCCTATTCTATGAAAAATTGCTGTGTGTCTTCCTTGTATTTGTATTGCTGTGTTCACACCACCCCCTAGTGATTGTTCAATCACACTAAACAGTGTCACTTCTCTCTCCTTTCATGCTGAGCATTATATATGGGAAAGGGTTACTGCATACAGCACCACAGCTGTATGAGCTGTACAGCTAACAGTGTGATGCTGCTGAACACAGACAGCAACCCCACCAGCTCAAGACTTGAACTGAAGGTACTACAAGAGGCATCAAGTGCTTCACCTATACTTAGCACATCCTGTACAACATCCCCTTTCAAACCCTTTAACAGCTCTTAGCTGTGGTAGCCCTGGTTTTCTCCCTCAAACACTAAAAGCACTTGACCTGTTTGACAATGTGCTGCCCAGTAAAAAGGTAGTGCAACTCAAAACCAATGCATTTAGGTAAAAAGTCAGAGCCTTATTCAACACAGTTGCTAGAGCTGCCCAGTCTGTTTCAGTCCTTAAGTACAGAATTTCTGCTTTCCATACTCCTCAAAATACCTGCACACCACACTGCCCACACTTCTATCTTAAATGGCTCTTGTAACACGATCAGATCAAAAATTAGGCGTTATTAGGAGAATTAAGCTGACACACAGCTTGCAGGCCAGAGACAGACAGCAGAGCCTGTCCTGATAACTCAGGAACACAAGACAAATCCTTCCTAATGCCTTCATTAGCCAAAATGAACTGTGGAAGTAGGCAGCTCTGAGCGTCTCTGTGTGCATGTTTGGTTCTCCCTTGCTCTATGTTCTAGAGGTCTATATAAAACAGGCAGCCAAAAGGACTTTGCAAATACCATTTGAACAAGAGCATGCCTACCTCCAACACTGCCTGCTTGGAATTAGCTCCTACTACTACCTGTAGGACACCATGGTTCACTTTAAATTGATACTCAAAACAAGACTTGTTTAATTATGAACAGATTTTAATCCAGTGCAAACCATACACCTATACTGAATTTCTCAAACATTACAAAATGGTAGCTTTTGAATCAAAAGGCAAACCAGTATTTTATTGACAGATTTTATTGATGTTAAATTCAGATGAGCATCCTCTGCTTTCCAGAGTTATTCATTCTCTATTTCTTCATAGAATGATGCTGCCTGTAAAGGAAAAAAACAGATCAATAACACACAATAAAAACAACTTTTACACTTGTGCTTTTATAAAGCCTGAAAGACTGTTTCCCAAATAAGTAAGGTGAACCACACTGTTCTTCTTGTAAGAGCATAAAGCTCAAAATTTCCCAGCACTGCCATGGCAATAAATGAGCCTAAATTATAGCAATTTTGCAGAAGAGATCAACAAGCTACAACTGCTTTGACAGATTTCTGTTTAAGACATTACACTCACTATATCAGCTCCCAGACAGACTGTTTAATGTTTAAGTTCCTTCCAACTGAGTCACTCAGACCATTTGTAATAAAACCAGTCTTTTCTGGAGCAGTTATTGACCACAGCACTTAGGTTCCTGCAGCAAAGATATAAAAATGTAGTCTGACTTGTCTGTAAGAGCATCCTGTTTGTAAGTATTTACCTCAAAACGAGTACCTGTAAGCAAACAACATACATCTATTCCAAAAATAGGCATCATGCTACTTCAATCTCTTTTAGACAATAAAACTCAAACATCTATCCTCTTTAGCATACATAAAAATGAAAAACAGTAACACTAAACAATCAGCAACTTTGGTAACAGTAAATCTGAAGTACCTACTGTATTGTTTCAGTCTTTATACTGATCAGGTATTTCATGCAAATCAAGTCACATAAGATACCAACTCAGCATTAAGTGCAAAAGTGGTTTGTAAATATTCTTAGCCTTGAACTCTTGCACTGGGTTCTATGCCTGCACAGGTACCACAAAAATAAACCTCAGAGTTGTTATCATAATGACTGCACTGCTGAATGGCTACCCTTACAAAGCATTCTGAAGGCATACCTGTTATCTGTTCTCCACCTGAAGAATGTTCATTTACTGAAAAAGAGAAAACAACAATTAGTAAGAATTTCATCTAAATTCTACTACTGTAGAAAAACTGAGCTTTGAGGGTTTTTACTGACATTCATGTACTGTTTTCAATTAACCACATTATAATGTGATAGGAAACCCTCGAAGTTGTGACTACTGCAGAGACAGAAGACACAGATTTCTCTCACTCCCGTAAACTCAACAGCTATTTAGAGTTTAACTAATGCTCAGAATGCAACTGCCTGTCCAATTACACCTACAGGCTACAATGGCTTTTAAATGCTTACCCATCCACAGTCCTGTCTGACAGCCCCACCTGTCAAAGGCTGTCACAGCTACAGCTGTGACATTAAAGGGAGGGAGGAGATTTTGCATTTCAGTATCACTACTTTAAATGCAAAGACCAGGTGAAGCACATCCACATATTCTTGTTCCCAATTTTAGCAAGCTCAGCCAGCTCTAGAGCCACAAAATGTATTAAGTAACACAAAATATTTGAAAATACTTCTCTTGAAACTGCAGGGAAAACAGAATGGGAATGCTAAAGGAGTGAGAAGTGAAAAGAAGCATCAAAGAAAACTTAACAAGACATCAGCATAGTTATGGCTGATTTTTTCATGACTACACCATATGTAACTTTTAGAATATACACTTGCCTAAATATTTCTCAGAATCAAGTACTGACACATTTACAAGGTAAAATAATTCTCACAGATTCTGTAGGTGGACTCAGAAATGTGTTCCAGGGCTCCTATTAAAAATTCTTCCACACAGCTGTGAGAAGGATGATGAACCATACCACATCATGATCTCTGAATGCATGATCTTCATCATGCATTTCTGAAGACAAAGCTTAGTGTATTTCACAAATGGTTTTCTATAATGCAGCACAGAATTCTGTTCAAGTCCATTGTTTGGGAAGTGCACAAAATAATTCATCTTAAGTGACAACAAAGATTAGCAAATCTGGTAAACAAGTCAAATCTAACCCATGCATACTCATCAACTGAAAGATCATTTTAAAAGACATCAAAATATCTCTAATCAAAAGCACAGTTTGCCTACTACTAAGACTACGCGTTGGTTTGACAAGCACTTGATATAGAAGTCACATCTCCCATGTACCTACTACAAGGCATGATCTTTGCCTTCACTTTCTGAACTGCTGATATGCCTTAGGAGCTTCTATGAACTGGACACCATTAATAATTCAAGTGAGTCATTTGTTCACTTATCATTAACACTCAAAACCAGCTACCTTCAGGTGCAAACATCTTAAAAGGAGGAAGTTCCTCCATACTACTGGGATTGGTGCAACATGAAATGGCTCCTTTGGCACTAACACAAGTGTGTAACATTAGGTTTTACTACTAGTAGTAACATTAGGTGTTACTACTATATCAAATGCTAATTTTGTGCCACAAACCATTGTAGGACTTCATGATTAAAATAGCATTAAAGCACAAAGGAAAAAGGCTCCTAATATTTTCCAGCAGAGTAGTTCCCTCATCTACTAACTGTAGTAACACTTGTTCCTTCCCATCCAGGGGTAACAAGAACTTCACATCCACTAACTACAAAATGTAATTTCACTGAGATTTCCAATTCCACTGTAATTTGTGTGTTAACTTGGAATACTGCTGGGCAACAGTTAAATAAAGTTTAATGCTGACAACTGTGCCATTTCCAAGCACCATCTCAAACGTACCAGGTGTGATGTGACTCAGCTTTCGCGTACACCACTACTTTCACACAATGGGCAAGTTACACATGCAAGTGCACTGTACTACTTTGAATCAGATCCTGTGGTGACTGATCCAATGTCTCAAGTCAACAACATTGAGTTACTTGGATTTATTCTCACTGGGAATTATTATAAAGCTGATTCACTAATTTCAAAAAGTCTGGTTTGCTAGAAGCCAAATTTTACTTCCATGTCACACAAATAAAATTCATTATGTCATTAAGTGAACCCTCACATGACAGATGTAAGTTCAAATCAAACATGCATACAAGGCAGTACAGTGCTTCCATTAAAACAACAGACACATTTCAGTGATGTGTAATTCAGGCACCAAATCCATGCTCATTTCCAGTACCTGCAGATACTTCATTTCTGATGGAGAGTTCCAAGAAAGTAGGAAAAAAGCAAAAGTGAAGATTACTACAGTTCAAGATATCAAGGTATTTTCACAGCTACAGAACTAAGCATCACAACCCATTACCCTCTCTCCCCTTGCTAAAACACCTGAAAAAACCTCACTTGCCTGCACAGCTTATTTACTTTTTATCAGAAGATTGAACACTGTGAGGGAAAGTGACTGGCTTCCCACCCAACCTATTCCTCAGATTTGGTTCTGTTTCCTGATAGAAGAAGTCTGCCTCCCCCTAACCTGCCTTTATGAGGTCACAGCCACAGCCCAGGGGGCTCTATCAGTCTAGCCTCAGCAGAGGAAGGCTCCAGTACCTTGGGCATCAGCCCCTCAAACCCCAAGGCATTCTACCTTATCTTTCTTACACACTGTCCTCACTGCCTACACCACACATCCTTAACAAACTTACCTGGGTAAGGAACACCATACCAACAGTAACTGTGTGGAGTAAGCATTAGGGGTTTAGGCAGCCTGATTAACAAGTGTTAAGATTATCTCAAGTGTGTATTGCGAGACTGAGTTATGTGATTAGAGCAACACTGTTAGATTTATGAAGTTTAACAGTGACACATAGGAAAGAGTAATTTAGGAAGCATTGTTTCATGTCATATCAGCTAGGCTGGCAGCAGTGAGGAGCAAAACTAAGCTACTGAGCTGATGACAAGCTATACAACACAGAGTTTACCTTCTGTTATCCAGTAGAACAGGTGAAAAAATGGAAGAAAAACAATGTTATTTTGTTGAAGAATTCATAATTAACATTTCAAAGGCATATGTTCACTCTAGCTTAAAAGATATTCTCATCCTACCTTCTTGCCAGCACCAACATTTGCCTTGGCTGTGCCCCTGACTTTCTTCATCCTGTTCTTACGCTCTTTTCGCTGCTTCCTGGAAGTCTTCTTCTTTTCATACAAGCCGTGCTATTAAAAACAGTTGAAAGTTGCTTTTAACATTGTTTCTCTACTAACAACTCTTGAAAAGTTCTATGATTTCTGAAATGTTCAAATACAGCTTACATTTGAAATATTAACTAAGTAGCCAGATCATTAACTAATGAATGATTCAAGGTAGAACATAAACATTGAAGAGGCACATGGATCAGCCCCTTTTCTTATGCTTATTTTATACTCCAAATATAGCTTTGTTAAAAGTTACTGCTAAACACCTCTGGTATTATCAATTTTGCCTTCCCAATTCTCTAGCAATAGAGAATAAAAACACACTTAGCCTATTTTGCAAATGCAGAAGTTAACATGTGCTCTTTTAGGAGCTCTCATACAACTGTACTTTACAAAACCTGAGTTTTTACACATGTAAATCCTGTTTTCAAGACAAGAGAAAACAACATACCCTGGCAAGCCTGTGCTTGGGTTCGTTTTTCTTTGCATAGTCCAGGGAATCATAGATCATGCCAAAACCAGTTGTCTTGCCACCACCAAAGTGAGTTCTGAAGCCGAAGACGAAAATTACATCAGGGGTTGTCTTGTACATTTTTGCCAGCTTTTCCCTGATTTCTGTTTTGGGGACTGTGGCCTTTCCAGGATGAAGAACATCAATGACCTAAAAAAGAATTTAAACAAGTTGATTAAAGGTCGATGTCCAGTACACAGCCCCACCAGGTGCTACAGTCACACCATGAGGTCAGCATTTAAACTAAGACACTTGAGGAGCACAAGCTATAATTCATTTGACACAAAAGCATTCAGAAGTTTCTTGCTTCACTGAGTTATTTCAACTGAAAAATACCTTTAAAAGCATTAAATCCAACAACAGATCCAAACCTGTCTCAATGTTACTAAGCCATGTTCTCAAGTGCTACGTCTACATGTCATTTAAATACCTCTAGAGAGGATGTCTTAACCATTTCCCAGAGCAGCCTACTCCAATGCTTAATAATCCTTTTGGTGCAGAAATTTTCCTCAACATCCAGTCACAAGCTGGTACAACTCCACCATCACAATTTACCTTAAGCATGCATCAACACATTTAAACTCAGCCGCTCTTACAATTCTTTATTTAAGAACTCCAGAGATTTTAAGGGCCCCATATTTATAGCAGCTAAACCTTCTTCCAGCCCAGAACCACCAAAAAAATAAATGCAATTTTCTGTAGTCTTTTACCATCTGCTTGCGCTGCAGAAGTCTGTTGGTCATGAACTTCCTGGTTCGGATGGTCACTGTGTCATTCTGCAAGAGAAAACATTCAATAAAACAAAACAATAGCTACAAATGCAACAGAAGCTGAACATGAGCATAAATAATGCAGGGTACTACAATGTTTAGGCGCCTCAGATATTGACAGTGACCTCACAATGTAAGTGGGCTTGTCTTGGACCACAGAAAACACCTTGAAGTAATACAGTGAGAAACTGACAAACTCATCCCCAGTGTCCAAACAGCACAACAACAGACACACCTTCACTACCATGAAAAGCTGACGAAGCTTTTAGTAAAAGACATAGATTTCAATCCCAAGAACTCTAACAATACAACAGAAGCTTCCTCCTAAGCCCAAATATTACTGCCTCTATGGCTTCCCACCTCTAAGAACAAGGGAGCACCCAAGATTCCTGGATGTTCTTGCTTGAAAAGAAAAACAGGTCAGTAGGTCCAGAAAAGCTTAGCCAGTTTTTTCAGTAAATGACACACTCAGCATGGCACTTGGTGTGTTAGCACCGGACCTCAAAGTAAGGACATGAAGAGGGTAGCGGTAAAGCACAGGGTGAAAGAGAAGTAACGATATAGAACAGAATGATTGACCATGCACTGCAACAGTAAAGAAGCTCCTCTTAATCCTCACGTCAAATTACCTGGGCTCCAGTACTAGTGCCTGGCACCAATAAGCAGAGCCTAGCTGCACCCTCTGATACCCCCCTCCAAACACTGATAGGGCGGCCTTTCTATCACCTCTTCCTGAGCTGCAGACACTCAGCTTTATCAACCTTGCCTCGCAAGAAAAATGCTCCAGTCCCCTTCCACTGGAACCACACCAGGAGCTTCATGTCTGTCCTGGACTGAGGAGCCCAAAACTGGACATTCCTCTCCAGGTACAGCCGAACCACGGCTGAGAGAAGATATCAGCTCCCTCGAGCTGCTATGTTCCTGACACAATGTAGAAGTTTCTCTGAAAACCCCGCACATCACTGCTTCCACAAGGCTTCCAGAGAGAAACAGCCGCGATAATA